TGACACATGGCCGTAACTTGCAGCTCTGATCATGTTAATGAATGAGACATTAGTGAGGTTCATCCCGGAGAACAGAAGAAACAGTGGAGGAACAAGCAAGCATGCATACAGAGATAGAGGAAACTGGGGGGTAGGGGAGCAGATGAGCGTATGTGGTGGAAACAGGAAGGGCAGAAAAGCATTTTCTATACGTAATATGGGATGATTGGAGCAAACCACCAAGCAAAGGAACTAAAGTTCCATTCTCTGTGTTTCTGTTGCCCTTAAAATTTCAGCCAAATCCACATCAGTAAGACCACTCAAAACCAGAATGGGAAAATACGTAGCATCTGAAAATATACTATAATCAGCACAGACATCAAAAGGCAAGGTCTTACTAGAACCTTTTGAACTATCAGAAAGTGTAGATAAGGATAATGCAATCGGGGGCAATATATTTACATTTCCAAAACAGTTTTCAATAACGTACCGCACAGGAGACTCATGACTGAGGTCAGAGGCAACAAGTCGTGGAATGAAAAACATGCTGGCTACAAAATAGAAAACAGAGTAGAGGTTTTGGGTTGTCACTCAGTTGAGCAAACATTGACAAGTGGTGTTAGACAAGGGTTAGAGCTGTTCACCACAAGTACACGACTTGGACTCTGGAATCAAAGTACAATTCAAAATTTGCAGTTGACACCAGATTGCGGCTACAGTTAATACAAAGGAGGATGACACAACACAGTCATGGAGAAATGAAGTGAATGAGCATATATTTGGCAAAAAAATGACAGGCAGCATGTAGGAAGAATCAAGGAGGCCAGAAGAACCTTGACAAATAACTGTATAGATATAGCAGGGTACAGTTAGACAAATCACTGAAAGCAAAGAGGAGTAAGGTCATCAAAATGAAACAAGGTAATGGTGTTTATTTCGAGGGGGTTGGAGTTCAAAAACATAGAAGCCATGTTAAGCTTAATTAACCTTACAGGACAAAAGTGGCATGCAGCCTAAGGCAACAGCAGTGAACCAATGGAGGAGCAGGCAAAGCTCTGTGTCCTATCCTGATGGATGAAGGCAGTGGGAGCCTTTACTAGCGTAACTTTGATCAAAGATGTGGCCATAACTGAGGATGTGGCCAGCTGACAGTCCACAAGGATTGAAAATGAACCTAAGTTCAGATCTAGAGATAGTAGGAACTGCAGATGCTGGAGAATCCGAGACAACAAGGTGCAGGGCTGGATGAACACAGCAGGCCAAGCAGCATC